TACTCCCTAACTATTTCAACGAACTTTTTCGCGATCAAAACAATCGGAAAGTTTTTGTGCATGATAGGGATAACGAAATAATAGATACAAACATTGAGGAAATGATGTATAATGGAAAGCAAAGAATGTTTATGGTTAATGGAATCGCAGATCGTATAGACAAATTTTGTCCCCATGGAACTTGTAAGGCGCATTTCCGTTATATTAGTAAAAACATTTCTTTTTTACTTATATCCCTTCTGCTCCAATGCCACCTGAGGAAGCTGAACTATATCAAACACTCTGGGACAACAACAAAACTGTAGGTTGGGAAACCTTCATCAAAAAAAGTCATATAAAAGGAGCTCTGGTAAGTTGCAAATGACCGTTTATAAATTGAAGTTTTTTTTTTAATAAACTGTATCTATTAATTTTGTTATGTTACCATATTTTAGCCGATTCCCGCTAATATTTATAAGGAAGAGTTTGTTGGAGCCAAATATCGACCTAAAACTGTTCAAATTGTTCTACTTCCAAGTGGTACAAAAATGAAGTGGACATTATTGTGTTACAAAAATCAAATTTTTTTCGGTCCTGGTTGGTATGAATTTGTAAAGAAGGAGGAGTTGGGTACAGGTGACTATCTATTTTTTGATAAAGTTGTTGGAGAAAACAAGATTTACCTGTACGTGGACCAAAAATTATGAATTCGTACGGTAAGCTTTTACTAATCCTCTTTTGAAACCATTTTCAATTGAATATCAATTATAACTTATTAATGTCAACCAATTTCAAAAGCAACCCTAATACCTAACATTTTTTAACATTTCTGGTCGTCCATCACTAATTCACGATTTCCTCTTTGTAACAAGGACTGTTGCTGTTAACTTTATTCATGTTTTTTTTTTCATTTTCTGTATGTGTCTTTCAATGTTAACCCTTTGCTTTTTCGACTGAACTTTGTTAACTTTGACATGGTACCCCGTTCATTTATATTTTACACATTACTTATCAGCTGAACATCGAACCTAATAGGTAATATGAAATGTATATAATAACTAAAGGTATTTTAACTGTTCTTACAATATCATATAAATTATTAACAATTTTATAAATACAACATTCATCACAAATTATTTTTAAAACCCTAAACTATTATCAATATTTTCCAACATAAACTTTTTTTCATATAAAATTTTCTAATTTAATATTATAACAATACATATGCTTGTAACAGAAGTAAGGTAGTATTTGCTGAATCTTTGTCAGGCGTCATGATCACGAATGAACCTCGAGCGTCGAGCGTGTCACTTATCAACTATTCATCATTACAACAAAATGGCATGGCACTGGATCTACTACGGAATAGGTAATAATTACTTAAACCCTCTAAAATGTTAATAATTTTGATGGAACGCATGTACGTAATTGCAGTCGTATAAATTTTATTAATTTAATTTTTGAATTATGAAATTTATATAAATAATGTTCAAATTTTCATCATAAGTATCCTTTATTTACTACATCAATGCGCATTTGAATATTTATAAATGGTTAATTTTATACCACGTATTAATTACTTATATTATAATTTGACTTATTCCGTGCTAATGAATTTTTCTGTTAATTGTGTTACATAACTTCATATAACTTGTTATTCAAATTGTGTATGTTGCTTTTCATTGTTACCATTTATTGTTTAACTGTACATTTGTTCAAAAGTGTTGCTTATTTTATGCCAATGAATGACTGCAATTAATAAGGTATAACTACAAATATATACAAAACCCTAAACTCAAAACAAATGACTAATAATGTCTAATAATATACAAAACAAAATAATACACCCATTAATTAAAACATTACAACATAACTGAATGCATCCTTAAACATAAACTGTATTATAAGGAAACTACAACCACATAAGGTTTCTTCATAAATATACATGTAGTGCGGAACTTCAATAATTTCAAAATTCTTATGCTCAAGAATCCGATCAATGTTATTCTTGCTAAGCATCATTCCATTGGTGTTGTTTAAGTAAACAACACCAAAATCTGTAGAACACATCGGTAACATGTATCCAGAATCGTAGTGAGACGTGTGCAATGTTACGTATTGAGTCCAGTAACATTGACCACCATTTTCCTTCATTCTCCATATTTTCACAACATAATAGGATGATCTTTCAACATTGTCAAATATTGCACAAAAGCTCATAAGTTCATGTAGTATAACCAAATGAACAAACTTCAACACTTTTGAAATCACAATCGCTGGGGAGAAGAATCTCTTCAGCTTCACCACTACTACATTGATATGCTAAAATAACAAACGACTGACTAATATAAGACAAAACAATCCAATGCAAAGCTTCACCAAAATACAAACCCAACTACCCATTTGATACAGTAAAATCAGGATCAATATACCTACACAATATATTCGTATGAATGGTGGACCACTCACCATTTATGACTGAGTAACGCTCAATCATGCCTGTGCCATCATATATGTTATCATATACCTCCATGTAAAAATACTCTTTTACAATAGGAACATACTCTAAACCATAGAACTTACGAATATATTCCTCTACTATTGGGCTTGAATCAGTCAGTGCCCTCTGGTTAACCTCGACGAAATTTCCAGTTGTGGGGTTCCAAACATAGGTAGAAATATTACCTTGAAATAACCCTTTCACCAATAGTAGACCCCTGCATACTCCATATACTTACAGGTCGTAAATGAGACCTTCTCTAAGCATGTCTGTCCTTATACGCCGTTGAATGCCGATATCATCAATATGTTTATTGATGTCCATCAAACATACACCCAAATTTCAAAATCGATAAAGCAAATTTATGAAAATGGGTTTCCTGATTACACCACTAGCAATGTAGTTTGCTTGCAAGAACATAGGATCAGACAAAACCCTACACCACTGCTTACTAACACATCTAAATTTAGCAACTGACTTGGACGGTAACCAGAAAATGATTTCCAGAACCAAGTCAAAAGGGAAAGATGATAGGTCCATGCTGGGAATTTTGAATAGATAACACTAACAAAACCAGGGGTTTGGTCATGCGTGCATCCAATATTTCTATGTATAACGGAAACAAAAATGCCTAACACAAATAGTGGTTACTTATATATATACATAAAACCATTCTAACTATCTCCGTCTTTTGGTTTCTAACTAGTGCGTCTCCGTCTTTTAGTTTCAATAACCACGACGCGGCGCTTCGAATTAACTGACTTTCTTAAATAATATATTGCCAAAACATTTAAATTTTACATTCGTAAATCATTTGATTCGTAAAAAAACCAACTTTTTAAAAAAAACTTAAATATCAATTTAAATACTTAAATGTAAATATATATACTATTACTCTAATGACATCATAGTCTATTTATTTTTACTTATCATTGTATACACAACAAAAACTACGCCCTTGCCATTACTTACGTTTTTTTTATTACCAAATTTCCAAAGCAAAATAATTTAACTTACATTTAGTATATTGCCAAAACATTAAACTTTAACATTCCTAAATCATTTGATTAGTAAAAAAATCATTGATTCATATATGTCATGACAAATCTTTATCAATTGTTATAGTAAATGTCAAACGCCATTGTGTGTTTTTATTTTTATTTTTATTTTTTGTTCCTCGAATATGAGTATTTTTAACTTTTTAACATGCATGCTTTTGTTTTGTGTACTGGTTTTGTCTTATGGTACTTTTTCATGAATGTATTTTCTTTCATTTCATTGAAGGATAGTAAAATAACAAAAAAAAATTTCCTCTACTTCTTCTATCAACAATTCACATTTCTGCTCTAGTTCATATTTTAAATATTTTTGGTTTCTCATTTATTTTTTCGACGTTGGATTAGTGTGCTTGCTAGAATAGAGAAAGTAATATGTGCTTCAGGAGGCACGTGTCATGTGTTTAGACGAACGTTCAATGTATAAAATTAATTATAAGGATGAAAATGATGCGTCAAATTTCAGTTGTTTGGAAATGGAGTAGACAAGAGAAGAAACAAAGACAGAATAGGGGAGGAGGTAAAGCATACCATAAAATAGAGAGCACAAATACTATTTCAGGTAGAACTGAAGTTTAATTTCGGCCATCACAAAGGTAAATTCATATTTTTTCTATAAATCACAAAACATTAGATAATAACAATATAATTCACATTTTTTCTATTAAAATCACAAAACATTACTAAACCCAATACTAACAACCTATACACAATCCTTAATACAAATAACGTAAAAATAAAAAGTAATACAAACATCTTATACATAATTATTGATACAAACAAATTATACATAATTAATAATAAAAACAACCTAAACCCAAAGAAGGCTTTCCTCATAAATAGTCATGCGGTGATAAATTTGTATAATTTCAATCATCTGATGCTCAACAACCCGATAAATGTTGTTCCACCTAACTATCATTCCACTGTTGTTGTTTTTGTAAACAATACCGTAATCTGTAGAACATATGGGTAAGATGTATCTGAAAGCCCAATCACACATATGCAATGTTACATTATGACTCCAACAGCACTGACCACCATATTGCTTCATTGCCCATATTTTTACAACATAAAACGGTAATTCAGCTTCGTCAAAAATCCCACAAAATGTTAGACATTCATCAAGTATAACTAACGAACATAGTTCAACCCTTGACAAATCAACATCACCAGGTAGGCCAACAGCCTCAAATTGACCATCACTAAATTTGTATGCTAAAATTTGATGAGTTAATAGTATAGGACAACACAAGCCAGTGCAGATGTTCAGCAAAATACAAACCGAAGGACCCATTCCCAATAGTTTCATCAGTATCAGTATATGAAAATTCCATGATCGTATCAATCGTTAACCACTCATCATTTATCAACGAATAACCCTCCACTATGCCAATCCCATCATATTTGTTTTTTGATATCTGAATGTAAATATACTGCACTATATTTGGAGCATACCCCAAACCTTAAAACTTAAGAATATATTCATCCACAAATGGAGTTGACTGAATAGGTGGCCTCTTGTTGAAATTCCTCAAATATCCTGTTGTGGGATTCCAAGCATAAAACTTATACTCACCTCTAAAAAGAACTTCGACCAACACCACACCCCTGCATGCACCAACAGGTTTGATATGGTATTCGAATTCTTCGCAAAGCAAATCTGTTCTGAATGTTCGCTCAATGGCATTATCATTTAGATGTTTGGTGATATCAACCAAACATATCTGTCGAACTATTTCATTTATGAATAAAGGCTTCCTTATGCCACCCACCGCTGCATAATTTTCTTCCAAAAAGTTTCGATCAGACAATAACCTCTGCCAACTCTTACAAACGCATCTATATTTTGCAATACACTTGGCAGGCAATCGAACAATGATTTCCAATATCAACTCACATGGCAATGACGATAAGTCCATCTCACTCTTAAATATGTATGTATAATACTGTATACTGTTGCTACAAATATTCCTATTTTAAGGCTTCGGGTTTGTACATATATATACACTCATTGGATAGTAATAGTCATGAATGGGGACTTGTACATGAGTACTTATTTCGTAGTTTGCAATCCTTCCCCTCAGCCATCACTCGCGCCGTTTGGTTTCTGGGCCGTTTGGTTTCTCGAGAGTTGTACTTCTTGTACTTAACTACTTCCAATTAATATTTTTAAAATTTATTTGATTATTGTTTGTTAATTTATATTTATTACTAAATTACTAAATACTAATTACTAATTAATAATTACTAATTACTAATTATGACTTACTTATTTTTTCGTACATACTAATTATCACTTACTTATTATCATTTTGTAAATTTCAATTTTCCTTCATATTTACAATTATAAAATAAACAAATAAAACAATAATGACACCCTTCGCGTTCCCAAAAAATTTCACAACTCCCAATCTTTACAAATATAACTTCATACGCAACCTGTTGGTTCCTATGTCTCATTTTGTTCAATAGTGCATTCGTTTCATTGACATTGTTGCACCACTATAATCTTCCTCCATCCTTTTTCGACCATGACTTCCACTGTTGCCTTCACCGGTAATACTACCTCCAACTTTCTCCTTCTACTAAACTCTATTATGTTAACATTATTGTATGTAGTTAAACCATGACTCCATCACTGCCATTTCTTTCATCTCTTTATCACAGCACAAACAAGACAACATAATTGTTATATAATGTTTAAACCCTAAACCGTTTAAATTTTACACAATTTGTTATATAATGTTTGTATGTTAACAATTGTTTTTTCTATTTAGGGACAACTGATTATTCCCAGACGATTTTACCATCATTGGAAAGAAACCCTGAAGTTTGACAAATACTTTATGACAGATCCGGAAGGAAACTGTTCTCTCATCAACATTACCAGAAAAGCACAGGTTGGAATATTCACAACCGGAGTTCGACAAATGACTCATTTTTATGGACTTGAACACTTCCATTCTATTCTGTTCAAATACAAACGGGGACAATGGTTCACCATTAGAATCTTCACATCTATTGACAACGAAATTCCTTATACCCCAAACACAGTTAATGAACAGCAACAACCACAAAGGTTATGTTCATATTCATGCAGTATTATATATGTTATCAATTATTCCCATTTTATTTGTTATTTCTTATTTATTATACTTGTAAAAATATTTTGTTATACAGATTGGACGACGATGCCTCATTTGAACCAATTCAAAATTTCCCAACACATGAACAAAATTGGACCTTCAAATTGACAACAAGTGCAGCCAAGGGAAACCAACAAATTGTAATACTTTTATTTTACTATTATATTATTATTTATAAATTATTAAATAAACACTTATACAAAATATAACTTATCTTCTCTTGATTGACAATATTTCAGTATATCCCTCTTACTTTTGTTCGGGCATGGGAAATTAACAATTATACAAATTGTTTGTTAAAGACTAACTCTAACAATATCCATCAAAATTGTCATATTCTAAAGAGGAAGAGGAAAATGGCATCTACATTTGAGTACTACTTAACATCAACATGCTCAAAGTTCTTCAAACAACAAGGGTTTCTACCGGGAGACGACTTGATTTTACAGAAGCTTTTCACCCCAAACAATTTAGTTATTCAAGTCCAAATGATAAACCATTAAGGTTATTTTATTTATTTATTTTACTTCTCTCAAAAACTTACATTTATGTTATCTGATGAACTAAACCTATATCAATATGACTATTGAAGTTCAATATTGACGCCTATTTAACTATCATTTATATTGTCTTATGAACATCACTTATATCATTATTAGTGTTTTAAGTTACATTTATACTAATTGTCTTTCAATTGCAATTGTAAACCCCATATTAAGGAAACCAAAATGCCTAAGGTCTTTGCGTATTGCAAACCATTTTTCTAAACATACAATTTACCTTTCCAATTCAACTTTACTATTCATATTCTTCTTCATGTTATAAACTGAAGTCGTAACCATTTATTACTCATTAACGCTATAGTCGAACACTGAAAATGGATTACTCTTTAACAAATGAACTTATAAAAATACATGTTTATTACGGTTTTTGTCGTCTTTTCCTATTTTGTGTAACAACTGCCAACCCCCCACTGCAGATTGCCATCTTACGATTTTAGTCACTTACAAATGTAATAACAAAGCCTCACACACTACAATAAATTTTAACTATTATTTATCATCACTTTTATCATAATTATTTAACAATCTAACGTTATTTTACATCATTCACAATCAATTTATGAACGTTATTTCAATCGACATACCAATATGTTTTTCAATCCTAAAATCATATTATTTTCTGCAAACTTAGCAACTGAAATATCCTAATAAAACATGAGCCTTACTGTTATTCTATATTTTGTCCACTGCGACTACACCACCTAATATATTAAAGATAAGCTCATTTGTAATAGCCTAAACATAATACGCCTACCAACATCACTTGTGCGACTAATATAAATTGTATCAATTGCAAATCACTATACCTCCATTTGCAACTTATTAATCACTTTAATCTATAACAAATTTCAACTGATTGCCATTTTTCCACCCATATCACAATTTCTGTTAACCACAACGTCAACAAATCATATTGTCATTATATAATTTATAAACATTTTTCCATCCTTCAACCATTGCAAACAAAACAAATTACTTTAGCCTCAATCCACATTATTCCACATGATTATGCCTTGTTTAACAAATAATATGCCACTAACAAATCTAACAACGTTCATATATAATCAAACCGCACTAAATAAAAAATTCTTCTGCAGTAAACACTTTTTCATTCTTTTTTGTTTCAAATAATTTGCCAACCATATATTATGAATCACATTGGGTCCAACTTCAAATATCTCATTCCTCAAATTTCACTCAAAACTCAAACCATATAACACATTACTCAACAATAATATTTTTCTATGTAATATAACATTATTACAATAGTTAATTATGTAACACAATAATGTAGACCTTAGTCTACCAACACTTTCTACCACAATTAGATAACATAGATATCTTCTAATATGGTTCAAAATATATTTTTTTTTCATTCACAATCAATCAATCTTAATATTTCCTTATAAAAAAATTCAAAACCATTATTCAACTTCAATCCTTCTAACAAATTACTTAACAAAACTCCAATACCATGCTAAAACAAACAAAAACCGCAAAACAACAACTTACCAAAATCGACAGTACACACATAACACACAACTCTCGTCACTTGCTTTGTCACAAAATACAACCGATTACAAACAAAACCTACTTTTCCAACACATACCACATCGTACCACAACCACACTTTTAACTTTAACAAAATCGATTCATAAATCAATGTCACAACCACCTCACCGGAAAATGCCAATTTAATGGTTCAAAAACTCGGTTGAAAAACCACACTACGATAACCTCAACCAACAAGAGAAATTTTAGATTTCAAAAACGCCTTTCAAATAACACATTGTCAATCAACTCCTCTGACAACTCCAACTTTATGGTTTAACAAACACTACTCATCTATTCATTCCATTAAACACCAAACTCAATATTCACACAAAAAATTACTTAAATTAAAAAATGATTCATCATTCAAACCTCATTCATCATTGAAATTTGCCATCCGTATCGTATGTCAAAAATCAAACACAAAAATTACTAAACAGCACAATAAAAGCAACTAAACCCTAAATCACATTTTCAAATTACCTAGAAAACAAACCTAACCGTATGAACAATACTGTTTTCGGCAACACGACAACGGAAAACGTAACTCGAACATAACACTTACATGTACCACCGGCTACCCATAGCTAACCACTCCGACCAAATGCCTCGTCAGAGATGATGACGCTTTATGCCTGACAAACCAACATCCTTCGCCAGACAACAACAACGTAAAACGAAACCACAACGATTATACGTGCACTTTCAAAATGGACAGTCGCAATCACATTGCCGAAAAATGACAATCCACAGCGATAAGCAAAGAGGGACAATTTTACCTTCTTAGCCTTCTGGAGAACAACAACGACTCTTCGTGCGCATTCATAAATCACAATCGCAACCACCTCGACAGAAAATGCCAATTTTAGGGTTCAATAACGAGGCAGTAAAATTCACAATACGAAGCCCTCGGCGGAGAAGGGCAATTTTACGTTGATAGCCTTCAGTGAAATTACCTTGTTGTCCCTTTACGAATTGTTCAACTTTCAAGTCACACCTTTCTAGCTCACAAGGTGACTCACCTCATTAAAACCACATGTCAATCTGTGATTGGTCCTTAAACAAGAGGCACCACAACCCCTTCAAATAAAAGGGCACCGGAGCAATAGCCGTAAGAATACACCGAATCTATTTTTTGTAAAGCCCAAATGCCACCAGCATGGCCCTTGGCCTCTTGTATTGATATAGGACTAAAGCCTAGCTTCTTCCAAAATGATGCGACAGTTGAGAACTGAGTATGCACTTCAAAGAGAAAAAGAAGATCAGGAACCAATTCTTGATAGTTTCCTTCAAGTAAATCCTATTGCGTTTTCCCGCTGCTCCTCTTACGTTCCAAGCTAAAAATTTTAGGTCTTTTACCATCATTAACCCCATACCAAAAAGCAAACAGGGCTAATATGGCAAATCTAAGCAGGATCATAAGAAGTGATCCCTACTTCTTCTAACATCACGTTTGCATGAATGATGTGTTGCTTTTCTTCTTGCACTTTCATCGTCATAGGGTCGTCAGCAAAGTTATCTCTTCCTTGACCTTCCCGATAATTACCTTTTAAGTCAGGTGGGTCTTCGGTCAAGGAGGAGTTGGCTAAACAAGGAACAACTTCTTCATGGGTGGGGCCAGGATCACGGCTTAGACCCTTGGCATATCCTGGGCTTATG